AATCTCATCATAGAGTGGGAACCCTGAATGGTAATATAGTTCTATAATAGTAATAAATGCAGGTATGGTAGTGCACTTATAAATGTTAAAAATGGTGTACAATGAAATGCAAAAACCATTAAAAGTGAATGCAATGAAGATATTCTTTCAGGTGTAATTTTTTTATGGAAAAAAAGGAGTTTTCTTAAGGTAAGTTCTTATTCAATCATGTATCATTCATTTATGTTGCTAAATCTTTTAGTTCCAAAGATCTCAGTAAGTATTTTTGTTTTCTATATACACTCATGTTCATTAAGGATAAGGCCAGTTTTAGCAAATAAAGATTCAGAAACAAAACAAATGTGACTTATTCATATAGCCCATTTATAAAGCAAAAGATAAAGAACAAAAAAGATTGTATATGCATGATACCATCATTCATAAAAACTTCGATTTTTGCTCCTAGCCAGGAGCAATTTATAAAAATTATCTCCTTTACCTACTCCATATTACTTGGTTGGTATGATGGTTAATACAGTGCATATCCCCTTTCCGATGAAATACAGTCTGTTCAACGCCTAGACAGGTTGAATATCAAATTGCTCTACTTTGCAAGTAATGTTCTCCAAAGTTCACGTACACATGAAGGAGGTGGCTGATGGGCTGCAATTTTTCGGCCAAATATGTCCTCCATATGCATCATTCGACTCAAGTCAGGTGAGAATGCTGGCTGTTCCATATGGGTGATATTCTTAAATTGAGGCATTGGTATGTATCGCACGATGTTTGCTCGGTGAGAAGGGGCGTTGCCATCTATAAACCTTAATTCTGCTCCCACGGCATACCTAAATAAAAGAACGTGTTGTTTTAGAATGATGAGCCGATAAATTTGGCCTGCCATGTTTCCGATTTGAGCATGCGGATCCTTTCTGGAGCCCAGTATATTTTTTACCCCAACCGAGCATTCCTACACCACCGTAACGGTGTTTAATGATGCTGTTTCGGTGGTAACGGATACCTAGCGTTCTCCATATTAAAATCCGACGTGAATCAGACAGCAAGCTAAACCTGGATTTACCGGAAAACATCACACAAGCACTATGATAATGTTTATATTCTCTACTCCTGTCTAATTATTGATAACAGTGGGTTGTCTTAAGTAAAATACATTTTTAACTGGCCTGCGAGCATACGGACAAATATTTCCCGAACGTCTTCCTAAGTTTCGATTTTATTATATTTAAAAAAAGAGAGGAAATAATAATAAATATCACAATGGAAAAAGTTGATCAGATAGCACCCATATCTTTATTGAACAAGATATTTGATCGGTTAAAAGAAAAAGAGCTTGTATTTGTAATTACCAGCAGGTGACCGAGCTCCGCTCGGAGAAAACAGATATCGAAGCTAACTCGAAGATTTAAATTTTCAATTGTGATTTATCAAAACAATACATGCCATAAGAAAATTTGTGAAACCATTGGTGAAAAGATAACCGGTTAAAGTGCACCATTGTAAACTATCTAAACAAAGTTTGGAAAGGGAACTATTCTATACAAAGGTAAAGTTTGAAAAGTCATAGGAAATAAAATGTAATTGATAACAAAAAATTATACAATTAAAGAAATGGTACAAAGTGAGCAGTGTAAAGATTGAAGTGTGTTGAAGTTCAATATTTTTGACAAATTTATTTAGAAAAACCAAACATATATACATACATAAGAAACATATTATAAACCTATAACAGCATAAACATAATAAACATTAATCATCGATTGCGAAGTCTTCCATGTTGTCCAGGTAGTTTCTTGTCGGAGAGGCAGGTGCGGCTGGTGAGTTTCTCTTGTTCAGGACTTCCTTCCATACGACGTTTCGGGTGTGGGTTGGATTCTCAGGAGGCAGCAGGACCTTCAACGCACTTTGACGCTTGACTCTTGAAAACGCGACGTAGAGCATTCCGTGCACGAAGACCGTCGTGAGGAGAAGCACGCCGACGAATTCGAATGTTTGGCCTTGTGACTTGTGTATCGTAATGGCGAATGCTGGAGTAACTGGGAATTGGTGCCGTTGCATAGTTGCGCCAAGCTGTGATTTGCTGGAGTCGAGCGTGATCCTTGGAAGGTGTACTTGTCGGCCTGCGTGTTCACCGGTGATGATCTTAGCCTTGATGATGTTGTTGCAAAGTTCGGTGACAATCAATCGTGTTCCGTTGCACATTCCTTCAGAGACGTCCAAGTTTCGGAGAAGCATGATGATGGCGTTCTTCTTGAGCTTCAGATTGTGTGGAGGCAAGTCGGCGATGTTGATCGAGTTCAGGAATTCAGGCGCGAATTGAATTCCCCCTTCATGTTGATCCTTTACCGAGTCGAAACTTGTGTATGTCTTCTCTTCGCCTGGAAGCATAGCGATAATCTGCTCGTTGATCTTGTCCTTATCGTCGTTCAATGGTGCAAGAATAGCGCGATTCTTCATTGCTTCGTAGTTCCCACTTCTGAGGCATGGTCCGAAGATTTCATCGATGAGGTTACCACCAGAGCGAATTTCTTCTGGGACTTCTATTTCGCCGAGTTCATTCACTTCGAGTTCCCCGTCGCCGAGCTTTAGCAGGTATTTCGCGAATTCTTCTTCTTCGGGATCAACGCGCATGTTCTTTTCGAGCGAATAAGTCTTGAAGTGTTTTATTTTATTTTATGACCGCCGTTGAACAGTCGACCCAATGTCTTGAAGTGTTGCCACAGATGGCTTCTCTTGATCAAAGGGTCGAGTATTTCGCTTTTGTTGGCACGTTGTTGAACTGGACAGCACTGTCGGAAGTCGCCACCAAGCACCATGACTTTGCCTCCAAACGGAATGTTGTTGCAAATCGCGCGTAGGAGTTCGCCGATGTTGTGCAAGCCGTATTTTAACATCATCGGAGCTTCGTCCATCAGACACACGTGGGCTCCTTTGAGTGCGTTCGCCTTCGGTGATCCTGGTTTGATGGATGATCTTGAATCGGATGTAAGCGGGACTTTCAAGCCAAAGGTTCGGTGCGTTGTTTGACCACTCGGTAGAAAAATCGCTGCTATCCCGGTGTAAGCCATGCATTTCACTTTCTTAAGCCTTCCGGTAACGATGCGATACAGCGTGCTGTAGACGAATGTCTTCCCGGTTCCTCCTGGTCCATCTATGAAGAAGCATTTCGCAGCAGGAGTCGGGTCTTCAAGTGCTTGGATTATGGTGTCGACGATTTCACGCTGCTTTTCGTTGAGTTGCTGGTACATGCGGTCTCCGATTGCTGTTGATTCGTCGACGTCGATCATATCGTGTTCCAAATCTTGCTCATAGTTGTCGATGTCTTCCATGCCATGTGTCTGCACCCAGTATCGGAAGTTGCAGCCTTCGGTAGCTTCGGTGTTCAGCTTATGCTCGATGATTCGGTAGGCACGCTTTATCGCTTCTTCTATGGAACCACCAGTGCGTCTTGCTTCTCGAATGAAATCTTCCGCGAGTTCCTCTTTGAACAGTTCCCATAATCTCTTCGGGTTTTCTGGCGCACCAAGTATCAGGATTTGAGCGAAGAGTATGCGCATAACACTTGGCATTTTCGATGAAGCAGGTTCGCGGAGTCCTACGTACTGTTGGTCGTCGTATGTGAGGCCTCTGGCTAGACAGGCTTGCTTGTAGGTTGCGTGCTGGACACCGTCGACAATGTAGAGGTCTTTGAAGTTTCTTGGTTCTTTGACGTGGAACAAAAGCGTGAGCAGGAAGAAAAGTTCTGTTTGGGAAACGAAGTTGACTGGATGTACGCGACCAATTCTGCTGCAAGCATTCACGTTCTTCTGCCAAGTGCTCGTCTGGCCAATCCATCGGTAGTGCTCCGGCATTTCATGGTAATAGTGGTAGGTGACTGCCTTTCCGTTCGCTTCGTCTTCTTTCAGCGCGGTGTTATGGTCGATCCCTTCTGTCCAATATCGGCAAGGTCAACTGGCGTTTGGTCCAAGTTAACGCCATCTTGTCCGGGTAGGTAAATGTCAAGTCGAACGACGGTGTGGCGTTTCGCTTGGATCTCGAAATCCTTGAATAGGCGCCAACATGCTTCAACTGGTGAGATATAGCGAGCTTCCACGTACTTCTCCGGCTCGTTGTAGATGATCATCTGCTGGTTTTCGACGGCCTTTATCGTAGCACAATCATGGCCCTTGTAGATGTACTTGTAGAGGTATTTCACCGGTCCGATGCTGCCGACGAATTCGACATTGATGTGGCATTGATACTTCTTGAGCAGGTAGGCGTTGTACGGGACGACGTGGCGGTTGTCTGTGGTGACGCGCTGGCCGTTGCAGTCTTTCCTGTAGATGGCTTGCTCATGCGAGAATTCTGGGTTCATTGGATCCAACAACGGATTGTAGCGTCGGCGATACCTCGGCTTTTCATCGTCCACCAGCGATGTCATGTCTTGATGTTCCATTGGAAATCCCCATCTGCACTGGTCTCTTCCATGTTTGCTGACCATGCACGGAGCGCTTGGGTTCATATCACCACACGGGTTATGGATCATCCATTTCGAGATCAGTTCCTTGAGTTCCGGATCATCTTCTGGAATTTCCGCCGAGATAAAATCGTCAAGTTGGTCAGCGCTGTGAATCTTGTCCGCTGGCGACATAATCACTAATAGGTGCATGTGCGGTAAACCTCGCTTTTGGAACTCGATGGTGAAGACGTACG